AAGTTATCCAAATAAAAGGTCTTCAACCTCAATAATTTACATACATCTGTTATTCTTCTCAAACCATTTATACACAGTTTAATTACATCCTCAGACTCGAAGCATTAACTGATCTGACAAACTAAACAACAACTGATCCAAAAGAATAAAAGAGGTCATGTGTAAAATCAAACAAAAGTAAAGAGTCCAGACACGTAAGTAACGACTTGTGCTCAAAGAGAGCTCTTTGATTTCACCTTCTTCCTCCACTTCGAGCTGCTGTAAATTAATGAGTGGTATTGATTGATTTTTTTGGTGATGCACGAGAAGAAATCAATTGTCTCTAGAGGAGATTGAAGACGTTGAAATAGAAGAACGAGAAAGAGAAGTAAGAAAAGAAGGATATTTTAGGTATTAATACATATTATACATGATATACTCTAACCAATAACTCAATATGGCTATTCTCTTAATTTTTTTTTTTTAGTGTTATTGCTACTAAATTCTCAATATTTTTCATGATAAATTTGTTTTTTTAAACCAATGAATAGTCAGACACCAAGTGGTTATTAAAATTAGTTGAACCTAATAGAAAGAGAAACCGGCATTGACAACCATCCCACGAAGAGAGTTCTTCCCTATTGCTGTCTCGTGAGAGCATCTCTCCAAAGACTTGGATGTTGATCATTGACTCAATCTTATAGTGAATGACATCAAAAATATTTGACTTTCATTTTGTGCATATATCTTTCTAAGTTTTAGTGAAATTCTCTTAAACAGTTATTCACAATCATTTTTTTGTCATATTCGAAGATCGCAACAAAATGATACGTAAACTAGTTCTTTAAATAGGTTGACAAAAAAAGGAGTTATGATAATTTTATAAGTTAAATGAGTGATTAAAAAAATAAAGTTGGATTGAATGTAAAATTTTATTTTTATTGAGCTACAAACATTTTAATAAGAAAGAAACTTTTCATATTTTATGAAATATACAACTCGTAAAAATAATAAATATATTTTTTCCTTTTAAAGAAATATGGTTACGTCAATTGATTTGTACTAACAGTTTGAACTATAAAATTC